CTAGATCAAATGCATCTGTAGTCCTGAAGCCCAAGAGACAGAACTAGATCTTCTGAAAGAAACCTTCATCCAAATAATGGATACCCAGCAACATTCATTGACAGGAATATCAAACCAAAAGCTGAAAGGAACGAAACACCACATGTTCCAAGAAGTAAATGTTACGTAACCTTGTTTTTCAAGGGATACTAATTCTGCGATATCCTTAAGAGAAGAATTTCAGCATCTTTGGGAAGGACATTCATCGCATCAACACCAAGAGTAATGTTCTTCAGGAGCCTTAGGAACAATATCTCGCATCTGATCACTTGTATGCGCATATACAAGTTCATCTGCTACTGTGGAGCCAGGCACATTGGTCGTTCGATAGTATCCCATCTGAAAGGGCTGAAGAACACTATACCGCATGACTGCAGAAAGGTATTAATGGCACTATAAGGAATGCAATAATCGAACACTGGTCACTCCATCTCAGCAAGCGACTCCTTCAAAGTAATCTACAAAGTGAAAAAATAACCTACCAAAGGCAGTACGCTTTCGTTTCCTGTCTGCATTGTTGGAACTTTAGCCATTCAGTTAGGAAAACCTAAGCTATGCATACAAAACAAAGTTACTCAGCCAATTATGCTATCATGGTAACAACCTTGTTGATTTCTACTGACCTGATTTATGTTTTCTTGTCTTTCTAACCCCTTAAAACTCTTGTATTTGTTTAGAACTCTTACATTATTATTCCATACTGTCCTTCGTTTTCATGTTTACCCTGATTACAACTCATTCACTAGATCATTCATCTTGCTATATAATTCTAATACACTTATTGATCTCTTTTTATGCATTGATTAATATTAACAACTATTATTATGTCAACTCACGCCTTTTGTGACCACCCACTTTCAAGAAAAAGAAATTGTGTTTAAATGGGATTGTACAGGTGAAGAAAATGAATTCGGCGAAAAGATGCTTTTTGCTGAAATGAGTGTTTTGTTTTCATTAATGACTGATTGATATGTCAGCGAATAGTGAGCGTTATGATCCAACAAGACCAGTCAACGAGAGATTAAAAATAACTACAACAAATATAGAACAAGCTGGATTCAGGAAAGGCAAATCATGTTCTGACCAAATTCAAACTCTACGCATCATCATCGAACAAAGCATGGAATGGCAATCAAACCTCTACCTCAACTTTATAGACTTTGAGAAGGCCTTCGACAGCGTTGACCGCGAAGCAATTTGGAAACTACTCGAGTACTACGGCGTACCCCAAATATTCATCAACCTTATTCAACAGCTGTACGACAACGGCACATGTCAAGTGATCCACAACGGAAAACTCAGGAGGCTTTGATAACACAGGAGTCAGACAAGGGTGCTTATTATCACCAATGATATTCCTAATTGTGGTGGACTGGATTATGCGTCAGACAGTGGGAAACGAGAAGACAGGGATATCCTGGACCGACGTGAAGAACCTAGAAGACCTGGATTTCACCTGGATGATTTATGTTTGATGTCACACAAAATCGAAGACTTACAAGCGAAAACCGACAAACTGGTCGAAGAAGCAGCAAAGACAGGACTCCAGGTGAACATAGACAAGACGGAGGTTATGAAAATAACCAACAACAACAACAGCAGCAACATCCAGCGCCAATCACCATCAACGGGAGGGATTTGAAAGAGGTTACTTCTTTCACTTATCTAGGGAGCATTGTCTCAACTACAGGAGGAACGGACGAGGATGTCAAATCGAGCGAGAATCGGGAAAGCGAGAAACACATTCATCAACCTGAAACCAATCTGGAAATCTTCCGCTGTCACTCAGCCTGCATCAAAAACAAAATTCGGATTTTCAATACAAACGTCAAGTGAGTCAGTTCTTCTATACGGATCAGAAACTTGGCGGGTCACAAAGAATATTTCCAACAGCCTGTTGCAGACCTTTATCAACAACTGTCTTCGCTGGCTCTATACTGAAGATCAGATGAACGGAAAGAAAGAACCAACAAGAAGCTATGGGAACAAACAAACAAAACAAGAACCGATCGCTCAACAAATATGCAGGAGAAAGTGGAGATGGATTGGACACTCGCTGAGCTAAGGAGGTCGCTGGGTGACATCGCGCGTCAGGCCAGTGCTCGAGTGGAACCCGAAAGGGAAGCGGCGAGTGGGACGTCGAAGGGTGACATGGAGGAGATCGTGTGAAGAGGAGTTGAAACAGTATGGACTAACATGGATGCAGGTGAAAAGTACAGCAGAAGACAGAAGCAAGTGGAGACGTGCAGTTGAAGCCCTATGTTCCACTAGGAACCCAAGGGAACAATAGTAATAATACAAATATAGAAGTCAAAGCGATGGGTACTGGATGTGAGTCGCAGTGGGAACATCATTACTCAATGGAGAATGCAGGTACATTCAGATGACGAGTCCCAAATAGGACTAAATACTGTTTCTGAATTCCACTGCTAGTCACCATCCACCAAATTACTCTGAATATAAAAGCTATTATTCCAAAGATTTGGTATTATATTTGATTTGGTTGAGAGCAATATATTGCATCCAGAAGGTTATTCAGTGGATATAATATTGTTGGAAATCCCTTGCAATTATACATTCGTTCTCATATTTTCCTTTGTATTTAAAAATTTATACTACTTACTGTTGGTAAGTTGCATGATTTTATGCGTTATTTACCATTCTACTACTTTGTAACCATAGTTATTGATTTCTTTTGGAATTGATCTCATTTGATGCATCAACATTCCATTTGGAGCAAACAGTATTTTCTGTATATTTTTTTAAATCTATGTTCCACTCCTTCTTTTGAACATTATTTATTTTGATAAAGTTTCACAGTGTTATACAGTAATATTTACTGGTGACCACGTTTCCAGCACAATTTATTGCCGCTCATAATTATTATATCAAGTTACTCACACAACTTTCTAACTTCGTTTATATATACTTAGTACAACAAATTGCCTAGCTGATGAAATGAAACAGATAGAAGAAGCACTGGTGTTCAATAACTGTCCTATAAAATTCATTAGGAATATTGAAAAAAGGTCAACAGCAAAATAAAAATAATGGTGAAACCAATAATGATAACATAAATAAGAAAGAATATAAGGCATCTACAGTTTTACCATATAAGGAGGGGACATCTGAGACCCTACGTAGGATTCTTAATAAAGCAGGAATTAGGGTGGCACATGTAAAACTACAAACTCACTCAGATAGGACAAGCTCTGTAGGTTAAAGGACCCAGTTGACCCAATTAGACAAAATAATATAATTTACAAAATACCTTGCAATGACTGTGAGCTAAGTCAACTACATAGGTCAAACTAGTAGGTCGGGGGTAGTCAGATTGTCGGAACATAAGAATTTAGCTAAGGTTAGAATGGTTGACCCAGAGAAGATAAGTAATTTAGAAAGGAGCTCAGTACTCAGAGATTGCACTGCATGCATTAACACACAACCACACAGTAGCATGGTGTGAGAGGGTTAAAATTCTAAAAAGTAATCTAGGTAGGTGGAGATAGAGAGAAGTTGATTACTGAATCCTTGTTCATCGAATCTACACCCAACACATGCAATAGAAGGAATGACTCATCACTCATACCGGAAATATAGAAAATACTACTGCTACCAATCAAGTGAAGCGATGAAAAATAATGATGGAATTATATAAAAGAAGTTAGAAAGTTGTGTGAGTAGTGCCTTGATATGATTATGAGCAGCAGTAAATTGTGCTGGAGACGTGGTCACCAGTAAATATTACTGTATGACACTGTGTGACTTTGTCAAAATAAATTTTTATCCATAATGGAATTATCCTCTACCACAGTACCCAATTTCTATTCTTATATCAATTGATTATTTTGACCTTTTTTATTTCTGATCTATACATTCGTATGTTGTCTGCTTCTGGTCGTGGATTACCTTTGAAACAGCTTTGCTGTTTTTGTTTTTCTTACTGACACTGAGTAAATGTGCATCTGACGATGTACATACAGCACAGTCACCTCATAATTTGACATTTGTATATTCTATTTATGTGTAATATAGTACCTATATTTTAGAAAAATTCAGTGTGTTTCAGATTCCTTGCGTATTATTATTATTGTTTCCTTTAATTCCTAGAGGAACATAGGGCTTCAGCCGTGCGTCTCCATTGCGTTCGGTTCTCTGCTACAGTCTTCACCTGGCTCCAAGTCTGCCCACACGCTTTCATCTCCTCTTCGCTTCACATGACCTCCTCCAAGTCACCCTTGCACTGACGACCAACTCGCCGCTTCCCTTTCGGGTTCCACTTGAGCGATGGCCTGGTGTGTGATATCACTTAATGGTTTCCTCAGAGTATGGCCATTCCATCTCCATGATCCATTTCTTCCTGCCTATTTGTTTCACAATCGGTTCCTGCTGGGTTGGTTCGCTCATTGCCAGAGATCTCTGTTGCTGATCTTTTCTGGCTAGGTATCTGATCTTGAGTGGTATTGAGCGAAGACAACTGTTAATGAAGGTCTGTAGTTTGTTTGAGATGCTCTTTATGACGCACTGGCCAAGTCTCTGATCCGTATAGTGAGTAGCACTGACTTCTTTACATTGGAGTTGAAAATCCGGATGTTATTTTTGATGCTGAGTGCTGTTGACCTCCACACAGACTTGAGAGTAGTGAAAGCTTGTCTTGCTTTTCCGATTATTGCTTTGATATCCTCGCCAGTTCCATGCGTAACTGGAACATTTTGGCATAGTTATTTAGAAATTCAATCACCAATTATCACTTTGGATTGCTTGGAAGAAATCTACATCTCTCATTTTAATTGTATAAACTTTTTTTATAAATTGTAAACTAATACAGGGTTATATAAAACTACAGTGTCCAAGATTTACACACACATATATATACCAACAAGACAGAAAGCATCCCTTCTGCAATACTATAAAATATACAATCAAACAAATTAACCACAGTAGAAGAAGAAAGCACTTACACGTTCACATTTCCCTGTCTTATAATTCCATTTACGTATTGTACTATCAGAAGATGCTGATATTAGATACTTTTTATGAAACACTAATCCAGTGATATAGCCTTGATGTTCATTTAAACTATGCGTACATGTCAGCTGGAAGGCGGAATCTCTTGATTCTGATTGCCATATACATATGACACCATCATCTGATCCAGAGGCTAATATCATGAAATTTTCTCCTTCTCTTCCTTCTTCTTCGTCACACAAAGCTAAACAGTTTATTCCAACATTATGTCCTGAACATGTCTGCAACAAGTCTGTATCTGAATATTGTTTTTGTGATGAACTGATATTTGATCCCATTATTAATATATTGATATCTTCACATTTTCAATTTTTTTTTAGATTAAACAAGATGAAACACTGATGAGATGAAATAGTTTTCAATGTTTAAATAAAATAAAAAGGCTGCAGAAAACGAAATTAATGTCAATAATGAGACTAGTGGAGATAGACGTTATATATTTGCGGTGAAATAATTACCTGATTTGAGGTTCAGTTTCATTGCTCAGATAGTGCTGAGGCAGATGAGTATTTCAAAGGCCTCTGTATCTGACCCAGATTTTCGTCTTACCTTCAACCATCACCGATCACATCAAAGCAGTACACTACATTATAGGAAAAGTGTCTAAAGAAGACAGTGGATATCCACAAATATTTATCGACAGAGTTGATAAAAGTCAAAACAAAAGAACTAAATATAAAATCTGTATTCATCCATCTGAAATTAAAAGTGAGACAATATTGTAACAGATGAACCAAAAAACCACGGACTAGGACACTCCCCATGACTGGATTGATTCCTGTATACTAAAGAGAATGTTTCTTAGTTCAATCAAAAGTTCATAGATACCTTTTTTCTGTTAACCCTAACCGTGTATATATCAATTTACGTGTAGCCTCGGAATCAGATACATTGGCATAACAGAAAGAATGGCCTACCCTAGAATTTCTGAACACATGCCTAAAAGTCTAAGATTAAGAGGACCATGCACATGGTCCGGGGTTCGAATCCCGGCTGATGCACTCCTTTACCTCGCTAAGCCAGAAATAACGCTGGTGAAGAGGAAAGGTTGGGCATGAGGCTAGCAACCCCATACTGTAAAAATAAACACTGCTACAGAAACTTCAAGCCACTAGCTTGAAGCCCTATGTTCCACTGGGGAACGTGAAGGAAAAAAAAGAGGAAGTCAATCACTAAATAGCACAGTCATGACACATTTGATTGATGCATGACATCAGAGTAGACATCTTGAATTCTTTGAAATTAAATAAGCAAACAATCAAGTTCAAATCTCTTGAAGTTCGCAGAGGTCATCGTTATAAAACGATTAAAACCTGGCTGATGTATTCAAAAAGAAGCGCTGTATTAAGTCCTTCTCTACTCTGATAGCTTGTCTTTTCATCTTAATTGATTATATCATCTCTTTTATTAAATGTTAATATTGATTTCTTTCCACTCTTTCCTAGTTACATCATCATTTATTCAACTTCATGTCTTTTTTTTTTCCTTCACGTTCCCAGTGGAACATAGGGCTTCAAGCTAGTGGCTTGAAGTTTCTGTAGCAGTTTGTATTTTTACAGGATGGGGTTGCTAGCCTCATGTCCAACCTTTCCTCTTTACCAGCGTTATTTCTGGCTTAGCGAGGTAAAGGAGTGCGTCGGTGGCCGGGGATCGAACCCCGGACCATGTGCATGGTCGGCGAGCATCCTAACCGCTATGCCTAAATAGTGATATTTCAGAATGTTTAATTTATCACAGTGATTTCCTTTCACAATTTAACCTGACTCCGTTTTGTGTACAGATCTTCGTGAAGTGTTTTCTTTACGAGTAAGACTCGTAATTACAGCTGTAAAGAGCAGGCTAACATTTCTTACCTATTAGAAGTGAGCACTAAACAGTAGTAAAGTTGCTGCACAACTCCATACATACTATTGTGGATAAGAAAAAAGTTATACAGCTAGCAAAAAATGAATAATAAGGTGAATGAATAGCTAGTGACACTATATCATGATGTTATGAATAGGTCTGAATCAAAGTATGATAAGACTATAATTATGAAAAACAAAAAAATGTCATCGAATTGTATTCACTAGAGTAATTAATACTTTAATTTCCAATTTTCATTTAGTCTTATTATTTAGGAAATTCCGATGGGACTACAAATTACAACACTAACTTTCTTCACTTAACCAACGTTGGAAGTTGACATTCTGAGTAAAAAGCGGAAATGAAAACTTTTGAACCATTACGCCTGTTTTGCTTAACAACAAAGGAATAATATATGTGAAGCATACACGCGAAATTCTCCAATACAACAGTAATCTCATTACTTACTTCATGTCTGGAATGTCTGATATTGAACACTAAATGCGCTTAACTCACAACAACTGTTTTCCATATCTTATTTGTTTAGTAACTATTTTCTACTAATCTTGTAGTTTCTGTACCTTAATGTCTTGTTGCTATCCTAGTTTCCCCATATTAAGTACAAAGTGAATTGATTTAAATTTCTTCATGCGTGATGTAATTGCGTCTCCTGGTTACTATCTTTACATATGTATTGACCACTTTCTATTGACTTGGATTTTAAACTTTTTGGTCACCTGATTTAATCAGGAGAACCAACACAGGAGATTTAGAGACACAAGTTTATAGAAAATCAACGCACACAGATCAAATACTCAACTATACTAGCAATAATCCAGTTACTCACAAACGAAACTGTGTGCAGACATTGTTTAAAAGAGTTCAGACACATTGTAGCACTCCAGAGTTGAAAAGAATGGAATAAAAGTACCTACAAACGGTCTTCAAAAAGAATGGTTATCCACAAAATTTCATCAAAAAGTGTTTAAAGTCGAATCAAAACACCAACAAGAAATCATCATCAAAGACCATAAGAAAATTCATTCTACCATACATGTGGAATATCTCTAAAATAACAGCCAGAATACTGAAACCGTTAGATATAGATATAGCACACAAACCAGTAAAATCGCTTAATTCGATATTATGCAAACCAAAAGATCCAACAGAAAAAAGGGGATAAAATTAATACCATTTACAAAATAAATTGTATGAACTGCAACAAACACTACATTGGCCAAAGTGGGCGTCACCTTCGAATCAGAATCCAAGAACATAAATCAGCCGTGAAAAGACGTGATATGTATTTGTTAGTGTCAATGCATACAGACAATTATGGTCATCAATTTGATTGGGATAATGTCAAAATCTTAAACAGAGGAAACACGAAAAGTGCAATCAGGGAATTCCTAGAAGCCTGGTACTCAAGCGAAAATGCAATTAAAAAACATGTTAATATAGATGAAATATACCAATTAATAAAAAGTAAATCAGGTGATCAGAAGGTTTAAAATCCAAGTCAATAGAAAATGGTTGATACATATGTAAAGATGGTTGTTACTGGGAGACGCAATTATATCACTCATGAAGAAATTTAAATCATTTCACTTTATGCTAAATATTGCGCTGAAGGGAGATGTTGTCCAGAAGGATGACGAAAGCTCCGCAACTAAACCAACCAGCTCAGAGAACACTTTTAATTGCAAATCATCCACCTGAGCTACAAATCTTCTCTATTATTTCAACATTTTATATTATTATTTCGAATAATTAATGTAGATGAATAGACATTTAGTTGTAAATAAAAATGTTTTATAAGTTACACACAACTTTATGCATATATGACGGTTGTGGCTCAAATGCAAAAAAACAAAAACAAATAGTCAATGAAAACAGATGACTTGCATGAAAAATAAGATTTCAGATGAGAAAAAAAATGTAAACTGAATGAGACCACTTATAATCCTGTTAATGTGAACTTCTATCCATCTCTATGATGACTGATAATAACATGAAGACAAACAAGACAAGTAATATGCTGACCATAGTGTTCATGCCAATAAATATATTTCTATGAAATCAATGAAAATGAATTTTAAGTGTACTCGGGAGGGACAGTCACAGGATGCATTGATTGATTTGTGTGTCGACTGCTTCCACTGCTGATGTATGATGCAAGAACGTTTACTGTCATAATGTGAAATATGAAAAGAGAAATTATGAGAGTTTTATGATTGAAAGGAATCATCGTTCAGCATATTCTACTTATCACATTTGTAGTGTTGAAATCAAAAAGTGTTCCCCTACATAACGAGTGTGTTAATTGTAGAAGCGTCTTTGGATCAGTTCCCCCGATGAAATAGCCTCTGAATCATTACACTTATGATGACACAGCTACACGTAATGTTTGGTGAAGTTATCAGCAGTAGATAACTTTCAAGTGTATTTAGAATGCAGTGCATTAGAAGTAAAGCCAATAGATAATAATCTTCAGTATCCAATTGTTTTTGAATTAATATAAAGCAGCAATAGTTACGCCTTTTCAACAGAAACACATAAATGAGTAGTTGAAATAAAAGAAATGAACAAGCGATCATTATTTTCATTTTAGCTGCAAATAGTTTGAGAGCTGGTGATACAGATATCCCTGTAGATGTTATTTCATCAGATAAGGCAGTTGAATGTTGACTAGTGTTCACCAGCATTTCTCGTCTGTATATCTTTCGAATCATTAAGGTAGAGGAAACGACTGAGATAACTGTGGGGAGGAGTGTAGTGAGAATAAATCTACTGTATATCAGATTCATACTATGATAAAACTGACTACACATTCTATTCGATGGAATTAAGGGTGAAATACTTGCTGTCAATGAAATAGCAATGACAGTCATAACTTGAATAGTGATGAAGATTTCTGAATTGAAAGATGACGAGATGCATCTTGCAAAAAGAACAACAGGAAAAAGATTTTCAAAGCAGAGAAGAGCAAAACACCAAGTGGAGATATCCAATGAGAGCATTTTTAAGAATAAGTGTATCCTACAGAACCATTCACCAAAGGTAACACGTATATCATTTCCATTCAAAGTTAAGTATGATATTCTCAGTGCTTCTGTGAGATGCATAACAAATCCAGCAGCTACAATGAGGGATATATAGACTTTTGTAGATCGACTCAAGGAAGTGTGAGATGACTCTGGTTCTGATTCATTTTGACTATCACTAGCATCACTTTCTACAGATTTATTATTGATCTGCTTTCTTAGAAAACAACCAGACAGGTTGGCTATCCACAAGAAACCGATGTAAAAGTTGACAAGTATTGCCAATATCGAAATGCTTCCCATAGTCCAATCAAATACATTGGTGACATTACTCATGATATATGTATGTATTTGGACAGATGTATACGTGTAAACTTGAACTACTACAGATACAGGCAACTGGGCT